CCACCACCACCACCACCACAACAGGTTGGGGCCGCAATCCTCTCTTGGCAGCGCTACACCACGGTCGGCCCTCGAGAGCTACAGGCTGAAAGAAGTGCTTTCCTTTCCGCTTTCTGGTTAGGCAGAAGCTGCCATGACTAGGAAGGTCAACCAACCAAACATAGCGCATGCAGCCGAAGGCAATGCACAACGGGATACTATTCAAAGGCAAACTCAGCTACAATCACCAAGCGATTGTTGAATCGCAAGAGGAGTCGTAATGATGGAGTACAATGACAAGTCGCACGCAAGTGTAACGCTTACCTGATCCTGATCGTCAGAGATTTTGGTAAAGGATCAGAAAGTCGATCGCTTACAAAATGCGACTTGGATGACATCTGCAATTTACTAAAGTGCTTGGGTAGCGCTGCCGCAAGAATGCGGGATGATATCCGCTAAGAGGTCATTCTGAGAAGCTTCACTGCAAAATCTTAAACCCAACTCCCTACCCTCAGGGCGGCGTGGTGCTGGAGTACATTGCGCGCTTGCCCGGCCACGGGGCGAAGGCTGGCGATCCCAATAGCCTGACAAAGATCATACTCCCGTTGTGAAAACGTAGGGTGGGGGATAGGTGATGTCGCTTTCAGACTGCGCTGTCTTGGTTTGCGATCCGAAGATTTGGATCGCCATCTACCCCAAAGCAACTCAGGCCCTGCATTAAACGACTTCGCAAGTGCACCTGTAACGTAGCTGCTAGCGTAGCGCCGCCTGGGTGAGGGCGGCAGGAATGTCCTGCACTTGGAATGCTACTTGTCATGGCCTCTGCTGGAACAATTCGGGATGCTGTCTGAAGTGGCCTGATGTTGCTTCCTGCCTAAGACACATAATGCCTGCGTTTCCTAGTTTTCGCTGTACCTTGAACGGGAAGCAAGACCTCTGTGGCAGTCAAGAAAGTGCCTGGTACCATGGTGGAACAATCCCAAGACAAAACCTGCGAAATATTTAAAGAACATCGCAACAACATGAGGCATCCTGAAAAGGGGTTCAGGGGGTGGGGTCACAAAGGCCTCTCGAGATTTTGTTTTCTGTTCATATAGGTTCCTACACTCAAGCTTGTATTATGTTGTGCAACAGGACTCATGACAGACGACAAGCATGATGGGGCTCCTCACATTCTCCAGCCCTTGCAGGACTAAAATGAAGCAACACCACATCTAGAAACTGCCTCGAACCAGCAGAGGGACAGGCAACCCTTACCGCCGGAAACAAATGTACTTGGGAGTTTGCGGGCCAGGCTTTGGTCAGGCGGGTGTTTTTTTGCATCCTGTTTTGGGGAAGACCCCTGCGCCTCAACCACCTCGTTCCCGCCTGGAGGCCTAGGGTGTTTGGATCTCAGGCCCAGGGCCAGGTCAATACGTCCATTTTTGAACCCTGTATTGATTGTTTGGACAGAATCGTCAAAAGCGCGGCGAAAGCCATGGCAGCTCATGTCCTGATGCCTGCCACATTGCTTTTGCCCTTAAGCTGATTCTGGCAGGCCTACTACCTCATCCAAGCAGCTGAGGAGGCCAACACTTCTTTGTCAATTTACTAATAAAAGCTGCCACTACGATGCCTATTATTTCCACACCACCATCACCACCACCACCACCACCACAACCACCGCCCCTGCTGCCGGCGGCAGCAGCAGCAGCAGCAGCAGCGAACGCGCCAGCAAAGCCCGGAGAAAACCGAGTCATCGAGCAAGTTACTGGCAAAACAGCCACCAAAAAGCGAAGATCAGAACATGCTGAGTAGACTGGGCGTGTCAGCGGGGTTGGAAGCAACTGATCAGGTTGCGCTGCTTCTGGGGCACACCGAAATTTTTAGCGCCTGCGACCTGAATCAAGGCACGCGGGCTTGGTTGAAGATCTTAGTCTCATAAGAGCATTCTAGTGATTTTCCTTCTACTAGTACCCAGCATAACCACCAGGAAATGGCATGGCTATCATATCTAGTAGCAGTGGTTCTGCAACCCCTGAGATGGCCGGGCTTTCGATGGCAGAGCGTTGCCGGCTCTGGTTGCGCATCAGAACTGGGGTTTCAAGGACTTCGTGTGTTAAGAATGCTTATGTAGAGCGATGATAAGGTGCTGCGCATGTATCCTAGGTAGTGTCTTCGATTGAGCAGACTAAAGTAGGCTCTAATCTTGCTAGTGCATACACGTGATAGCGTGGAAGACGTGGCAGTGGTTGAAAGATGGACAACTTGGAGTAGCCAGCCAAGAGGTGACTGCGTACGGACTGTTTGAAGTGCATGACGAGCCGGAACGCCTCTTGAAAAGTGGAATGTAAGCCCTGATCATGTAGGCTACTGATTGTGTCGGTACTGCGCGGCTTGAAGGTTCGAAACATACACAGTTGCAAGGTGCTCTTCGGGGTAGTGTCAGCCGTTGTTTGACGCTTGCTTTTCTAGGACACCGACCAGAAGGAATGGCGAGACCGGCGTCTAGAGTTCTACGACCCAGACTGTAACGTGCATTTCATGGTGAAAAGAGTTGGCCAGTGAGCTGGTTATGGCAGCAGCCAGGGTGTTGTGCTGCAATCTGGAGTCATTTGTGTACAGATGCGTGGCCTGCGCGGCCAGCATTCAGCATGACGTTCTGAGAACAAGCGTTCTCGATGACCTTGATTTCGGTCTCGCATGCATGGACGCATTTCCCAATCTAGCATGCGACACATGAGCTACTGTCAATGGGTGGACATAGGGGTCCCTTTGGTAGTTTAGTATCGTCCCGAGTATGTTCCCTCTTAAGGACCCTGGTCCATTAGCTACACTATGCAGGGAAATATTGACTGTAGCTCACCAGGGGTTGCTTGGCAGAAGCAAGCCGTTGTGGTTGGATCACAGTCAAACCGAGGGAGTTGATGGCCCGGTATGGTGCGTGTAAGCTGTTTGCATCTGCAGGAGTGTTTGCCCGCGTAAGCCTGTCTTTGAGGCAAAATCACGTGTCACAAGATCAAATTGGGGGCTATGCGCACGGGGAAAAGATGTTCCTCAGCAGGTTTTAATCCGAGGCAATCGCAATGCCGCTGATGCGTTGTGAGGTTGCATTTTCCAGTGGGAGCTTTTGCTATGCATGTTTTTGGGCCGAGAGGCTGTGAACTATTCCAGAACATTGAGTTCCACTTATGAAGCAGGTGCGGATAAGTCACCCTTTTTACATAACGTTGCATGTCACACTTGCAGCCTCAGTCAGTTCAAGTCTTTAAGATTCTACATTGCAGCTCCACACATGCTATCCTACAGCTTGGACCACCCTGGGCCATGGAGTCCAGACAGCTGCTCCCATGACATGCTGCGATTTCACGGACTGCTGCTGCAAATGCAGCATGTGCAGCTAGTTGTTGCGCCACGAAGTACACTTCCTGACTTCTTGTATAACCCCAATATGCCCCAAACCCTACACCCTATAGTAGTTTCCACTTTCTTTTCCATTATCCCAATATTGTTGGGACAATGGAAAAGAAGGTGGAAACTACGATAGGGTTTATACTATACCTTTTCGTGGCAAGGAGGGCCAAGGCGCTGGAGGCTCGCTTTGATGAAGCCTTGTTGTCTTCACACTTCAAGATTTGAACAATAGGCATCGGCATCCCCCTTGATGTTGGTAGTGGCTGGGAACAGAGTACATTTTAGCCACAATTGCCTTCGGGTCATGACAAACTAGCATAGGATGGGTTGTCTCCAAGACATGTTACAGGCTCGCCACCAGACACCAGACAGGCCAGCCAGCACCTGCCAGTTGTAAGATTCCTCATGCATGTGCAGAGCGTCTGCTTCTAGGCATCCGGCAGTTTGCCACCCAGGGTGAGGAGAAGGCAAATGACAGTGACAAGTAGACTCTCTTGTCATCTACGGGCTCCTGTTGCTTGCTATCCCTGCAGAAAAAAGTCGTGGCAAATCTGTTGCCCCGACCGCCTTGGCCTCAGTTTATCATGCATTGCCACATTATGTTGACAGCTCTTTCAGAGAAGCCAGGATTCATCTCTCAAAGCTACAATCCCGAGCGCTTCTCAGCGAATACAACTGCAGCAGCTTGGTGGAGACGAGCTAGTGGCAGCACACTGCTGAAGCACCATTGCATGGCAAATGGTGAAAGATTTTCGATTCATGCAAACCTTTTTCCGTCATCCTTGTCTCTTCGCTGTAGAACTCCCGCAGAATGGCCATCACACGTACGGTAGCTCTGCCTTGTGGGCTTTTGCAAGGATCTTTTGACATAAGTTGCTGTGAGGACTTGTGCGCAAGCGGGCGAAAGGCAGCCCATTGCCCGAGGCACCATTGAGACGTTGGTGGGTTCTTTGCCCTTTGAGCAGCGTCCACACTGGGGGACCCAGTTCAAAAGCACTTGCTAGAACAGATGTCATGCAAAAGCAGTTCCTGCAATTGTGTTGTTTCTACAGTATCCACTGGGTTTGAGCTCATGATGCGGCATGTTTGTAT